TGCAGTTCTTGGGAAACTCATTCAGGACCCGCCCCTCTTGTCTTTCAGGAACTATTCCTATTCCCCATTCCTTTTCTCCAGTAAATTTTCCTACTCTTAACCTCCACTGTTCCTTAGAATTCACTCTTTGACTTCAGGAAACATAAACTTGCTGTATTTGACATCCAGTATTTCCCCTATATCAATATAGGCCAAAGAAGTTAGCAATATATGACAGAGATATGACAGACAGAGAAGTACAGAATGAAGACCTTGATTCAGATGATGGAGAAAACAGTCAGGGTCTTATAGACCTGAATGATCCAATATTAGAACTAGGTCAGAAAATGGTATTAGGTAAAACCTACTGGATAGAATGCCAACACTGGGGCTGGGGATTTAGCTCAGCCGCAAAAGCGCCTGCCTGGCAAGTGCAAGGTCGTGAGTTTGGTTCCTGGTACCGGAGAAAAACAAAAAAAATAAATAAATAAATAAATTTAAAAAAAATAAATAAATAGAATGCCAACACTGTGATTCTCTTTTGGAAACTGTTTGTAATGTATGATACACTAAAATATGTTTTGAAGTATACTGTTAATGAAATACAAGAAAACATTCTATATGCATCAATCATCATACTCAAAAATATATTTATCATGATACCTCACTATCTGAACTAAAAGCTTCATAGCAGGACTTTATCATTCTAATTTCCAGAATCTAAAGGATTTATGGAGAAGTGACAGATGTGACACTGAGATTTTTAGAACAATAAGGACACTTGAGAGATTTGTTTTCCTTCAAAATTGCCAAAGTTTCAACAACAAAAAGACCTACGAAGAAAGAAAAAAAATCTGACAGTTTGGCTGCTATTCACTTATTTGATGAAACCTTTGTTTCAAACTGCTGAGCAATTCATACATGGCTCAATACATGACGATTGATAAACACATTGAATTATTTTGTGGCTGTTGCTGCTTTTGAAAACATACACCTAGTAAATCTTCCAAATACGGTATGAAAATATATGCCCTGGTAGGTGCAAAGACACTTTGCCCCTTGAATTTAGAAATTTATCCTGGAACTCAGCCACCACCGTATTTCTTTTTACAGTAATAAACTGTATGACTTTGTGAACAGACTTGTTGCACTATTTCAAAAAGTAGCCCACATGCCACATTAGATAATTAGTTCACTAGTTACCAACTGATGTTACATTTGCTAAGAGAACACCAGTTGACCAGCACAGGAACTATTTGCAAGAACAAAGCTGAGATTCCTGAAAAAATATTGCAAGTTCCCAATAGAGAAATGTATGGTTCAATCTTTGGATTTCAGAAAGATATAACACTGGCCTCCTAGATGGTGAGGAAAAATATAGCAGTACTGATACTGTCAACAATACACCAAGGTGATAAAATTGACAGTGAGGCCAGGTGGGGTGGCACATGCTTGTAATACCAGTACTGAGGAGGCTGAGGCTCTGTGAGTTCAAGGTCAGCCTGTGCTACATAGTGAATTCCAGACTACCCTGGACTACGACGCAGCCAGAGACCTTGTCTCAAAACAAACAAGCTAACAAGAAAATGTTGATAATGAAGCCTCAACACAAATGAAGCCAGAAATGCTCACATTTTATGACAAACAAAAAGCAGGGTAGATATTGACCAGTTATTCAGCAACTATGCTGTCACTCGAAACATGAAGTTTTGGCCAATGATTGTGTTTTACTCAATTCTAAATATATCAGGCATAAATCATTTCATACTTTACAAAGAAAATAGCAAGCACAAAATATTACAGAGACATTTTGCTGGAGGATTGGGATTGGAATTGATAAATGATCAACTATAAAAGAGGAAGAACAGTATGCATCTGCTCGAAGAGCTCTTCAAAAGAATTCTGCAGCAGACTGGTGAGCAGACAGGTAAAACATCATGAGAACCTCCTAAGAAAACAGGAAGACCAGCAAGTTACCAAGTAAGTCCTACCAAAGAAGACAGGAAAACAAAGCACATGTGTTATTAGTGTAAGTGACACTGTGAGGAATATGCTGTTCTCATGTGTGAAAACTGCCTGAAGTGTGAGAATTGAAATAAAAGGTTACTTTTGTGGTTAAAAAAAACCCTGCAGTTCTCCTGACTAATTATTTCATTCCCTTGGCATTTTCATAGTTTGTATTTCCAAGAAAGAAAGCTTCATTTGTCCAGATTACACCTTTGGTTTTCGTGTGGATGGCTTGCCTTGGGGGCCAGGACTCACCTGGTCTCAGCCACTATAACCAGGGGGAGCAGAGTTACAATGGCTGACACTGCTCCTCTCAACCTGCCCCTTCGGCAGGGCTGTGATCAGGGCAGGTGCCATGATGGGCCGCTGAGGTGACTGTGCCTTTCTATTCGTAATTAATGAGCTTTCTCAAAGCAGCCCATGCTGTGCTCATCCACAAGTTTGCACAGCTCTTAGATGTTAGTTCTGTTAAATACTTCTTAAGTCCACTTGGCTTTCCCCATTTCTATGGCACTTCTCTACTCCAGGCCATAACTACTCCTGCCTAGTTTCTCCCTCGCTAGTCTCCCTCTAACCTGCTCCAACTTGGCATCCATCTTTCTAAGATACACATTTTATTAGACCCCTCCTGATTCTAACATTCAAAGCTCCCATTGCATGAAAGATAGTCTAATTCCTTGATGTGTAAGAGTTGACAGATGTCCACAGCCTGCTCCCCCCTGGCCTCATCCTGAGGTCTCTGCCATACTCTACTTCTCCCTGGTCTCCAGCGCTCCACTTCCATTCAGGTTTCATCCATGATGTGTTCCCTCTGGACTCAGGGCCTTTGTGTATGCTTTTCCATCTGCCTGTCCCCAATTGCCTCTTTGTTAGCCGAAAGTTCACTTCTCCTGACTTGTCTTATGCTGCAGAAGCGTGCAATGAGGCCTGCAAGCTCATGCGCCATGCTTGCAGTTGTATCTCTGGCACTGAGCCGGCAGACACACGGCAGGTGCTCTGGGAGAATCTGTGGTGGGTTTCTTTTGAATCCCAAAATTCCAAGTAGGGGTCATTTTTGCCCCAGAGTCAGAAGTGCAAAGAGTACATAAAAGAGTGATCCAGAGAAAGGAAGAGAGGAAGAGAGTGAAATACAAAGGAGGGGTTGAAAAACTCAGGAAATATAGATAGGCCCCTGCAGGAAGAAAAAAAAAATCTCTGCACTTTGATTACGGAGAGAAATATGCAGCCCCCAGAGGCCAGCAGAGATCAAAGGACTTTGCTAAGAATCCACCTCAAGGCCATCTAGCCATTAACAGCAGCAGGATTTAGGCTGTGGATTAATTTCTTTGGAAGAGAGAAGCTCAACTCCTTTCTAAAGCATTTGCAATAGCTCTGGTACTCCTGACAGGATGTGAACCCGGACACCTGTTTCCTGGGGCTCCCTGGACAGATTGCATTCCGAAGTGCAACTACAACTCCCTGTGTGTCTCCAGGGCTCTCCAGTGCTCATTGGTGAAGGTTTGCAAAGACATGCGGAACAACAGTTTCTTTGCTTTTTAAACTTGGCCTGTACTATTGGAACTGAGGGCAGAGAAGAGAGCAGGCAACATTGTACCCCTCTGGGAAGGAGGCAGGCTCACCCCTCTGTGACTTCAGCCTTCCCTAGGAGGGTGCCGGAGGAAAGAACCAAAGCCACAGTCTCTGCTCTGGTGGGCTAGGGCATTAGTAAGTTTTTGCAGCAGCAGCCAGAAGACATAAGTGTCATGTTTTAGTATGACAATCTAAGTTCTTGAGGTGGCAAAATACACTGGAAGTCAAGATGGGACCAGACACAGCACAGTGTTTAGCAAGTGGGGGACAGAAGAAGAAAGAAAGATGCAAATGGCTAGTCAGTAGGTGCCATCAAGAAGCTCATTTTCACTAGACATGCAAATTAGCCACAATCTCTAAGGGAATCTTTTCTTGTCAATAGCATATGATAAGCACAGAATACAGTCTTGCCCCAACCTAGGGAAGATGGCTTAGGTCTACACACACCACAAGAATCTGGGTATGCAGCTCCTTTGGCAGAATTTAAAGTAGGAAGAATTTGACCTTGGAAGGTCACCTCAGTGTCATGACCTGAATTTAAAAGCTTATAGATCACACCCTACAAGCACATTCTTCCTGACATATATCCAAACACCCTGCCATCCACTAGGCTAGCTACAAGGGGGCCCTGGTTCTCCCATACAGAGCCAGCATGTGGCCTATCAGAAAAGATTCCATTTATTTTGTTTCTTGATGTTTTATTCTGACGTGATGTGGGATTCTTACCTCCTGGTCATCCAATCTGAGACGGATACAAGTAAACATGAATTGCACTATTTAGATTTTCATTTTTCTTATTTTTCATTCTCTAACAAAACAAACAACACACTGGGTCCTATCTGAGCCCTGTTTTATTTTTCATGTGTCTACAAAATTAGAAGATTGGATTTGTTGAGCATTCTCCTCTACTTCTGTACTCTGTCACATTTCACAAAACAGGCCATAGGGAAAGGAGAGGAAGTGTGTTACTAGGACTAACAGGCCACCAAATAAGAAGAGTGATGAGTGTTTGAGTGTGCGGCGCACAAGTGTGACTTCCAGATGTGAGATGCCCAGTGAAATGGTGGCCTCCCCAAGGTCACGGCCTCCTTTCTGTTGGCCTTGTCTCTCTCTCTGTCCACCATGATGCCATGCAGATCATGGGCTCTCTGACAGTTGTTGAATTAGCTGTTCAAAGACTTTGTTTATTCTTCTCCAAGGTGGCTCGCAGACCCAAACCTGAGGCCTGTGTAGGTGCAGGCGCAGACTGCTGTAGAGATTTGTGTTCCTTCCCTTCTCTTCATCACTGTTTAGGCCAGCGCGTTGGGTGAGGGCTAGATTTATGAACCCCTCCGTTGGGCTGCCTGACTTCCATAGTTCACAGCCGGGCCACCTCGGGATGTGGATTTCTGTTCTTTTGCCATTGTTTTCCCACTCTCTATTTCTAATTTCTCTTTCTTTTTCAGAGGGTGATGCTGTTATTTCCACCCCGAGTGCTTGGCCCCACGATTTGGCTCTGGGCTCTGTAACCCATGGCAACAAGAGAAGGGAAGCAGGTGATTGCACACACACACACACACACACACACACACACATAGACACATGCACACACACACACTCGGGTCTCTCTCCCTCCCTCTGTGCTGCCTGGATGCACAAAGGGAAGAGCCCGTCCTATCTGCTGTGCTGATTAGAAACCCAGGCCTCCCTCCTGGCGCCAAGCGCTCAGGGCTTCCGGGTCACAATGCAGCAGCTACTGAGGAGCAGCGCGGCCTCTCCTGCTTGCTCCAGTCCCTCATATTTCTCCAGGGCAGCAGAGTAAAATCTGACCTTGTGCCCACAGTTAGAAATACCTCTGCAGTATTCCATTGTGTGCAAGCTGGAACCGTATTTTATGTCATCACAGGCACTGGTAGGATTGTGCCCGTTAGTAATAACTGAACTTACACAAGGAAGAAGAGACTTCTTTCCACGTGATTTTACAAATGGAAATCATAATTAAGTCATTTAAAATTTAAACTCTGACCCTTAAGCCCCCTTCCGTGTTTATGAGTTCTGGGAAGCTTCTACCCAGTTCAACAATTTTTTATTTCTTGACAGATTTTCTAGTTAGTTTGACTGAAGTGATTGACTTATGCTCAAAGTGGTAAAAATTCCTTCCCTGTTTGTGGACTAGAAAGGCCTAGTGGATGCATTCTTATCTCATTTGGTCAGGACTGGTGTCCGTAACTTAATAAAGAAATCATTTTAAATGCAGCATCATAAAATGATACAAACAAACCCCCATAACATTTTATTCTCATCTAAAACTTATGAGGAGAGATTAGTCACCACTCTTTTAAAGTAGGGCCATGGTCTGGCACCTACAGTCAAAATCAACTTTCCTGCATAAGCTGCATTCACAATACATCACTTACAACTTCTAGTTTTAGTCTCTTAGAAATATAGGAATTTAAAGATACTTGAAAGGCAACCTGATTCCAGAACTTGCCTAGTTTTTCTAGTTCCCCCAATAATTCACTGCCATCTCATTCTCACTTTATTGGGAAGCAAAGGAACTTGGCTCATTATTTCCAAACAATTCAACGTATTTTTCCTGGAAACAATAACTTCATTCTCGTTTGCATTCATGTTGCATTGGTTTGTATGTTACTCAATAGAAATTATAAAGTACAGAAAAGAAATGGAACTGGAAACAACAGCCTTGGGAATAAACATAGCACCTTTGATGAGTTGGACACCCATCTGATGGGTGCAGGGATGTAGACATATTTATGAGAGCAGGACCTGGCATCACAGTGTGACTTGAAAGTGTTAGCTATTCCAGCACTTGCCAGTTGAATGGTATTACTCATATGAGGTATATGTAAATGTGATTCCTAAGACTGGAAAACTAATACCAGCTGGAAGTAGGTAGCCCCTTTAATTGATCTTTTCTACACACATACTCCTGAACCTGTTAGTCATCTATAAGATCAGTTCTTCATATTTAACATTTGAATCTCCTCCCCTGTCCCGTTCGATCTTCCTCATATTCCACATGTCTGAAAGTAAGCCCTTCTCTTCTTTTGAGAGGGAATACAATTGCTGATTTGGCCAGCAGGAGAACGCCTTCACTGAAGAAAATCTTAAACCAGTTAAGCCCAAAGTGAGGATCCAAGGGCCTAACCTGCCTCATGCTCCTCCAGATTAACCTGCAGAGTTTCTGAGGATCTCTGGAATTCTTCAGAACACAAATGAATGGAAAACTCTAGAACAGTTTTAGGCTCAAGAGCCAGACAGAGCAGAGTTCAAATCCTCATTGTGCCACATACTATCCGTGTGACTTGGGACAAATTGGTTATTACCTAGCTCTAGTTTCCTCAGAAATAAAGTGGGAATGATATAGCTACCAATAAAAACTGAACATAAGGTGAAATGATGCATGAAACGTTCTTGACATACTGAGGTGCTCAGCATGTCCCCAAATCAGTTCCTTCCTTTGATGGTCTATTTTGTTTAATGGCAGTCAGTTCCCAAGATTCCCTAGGTTGTAAACCTTAGTCACCACTGACCTTCCTTCCCTGGACTAAACCTTCCCGTCAAATCCATTTAGTCATTTGGGAAACAGCATTTCCAGCCCTTTAGCATCCGCTTCTCAACTTAGCTTCTGTTTCAGTCGCACTGTTATCACCTTGGTTCATGCCTCCATTGTCTCCTACCTTCTGCGCCCGGGAATTCTGGACTCATGTCTGACCAGGGACCTCCTGGCATCACAAAACGGTTGATCGTGAGGTTGATCGTGCGCCGAGCCCCTCAGTCTTGTCTGGTAGTTCATCAAGTGCAGTGCACAAGGCCAGGCTAGGAATTCAAAATCTTCCAAGCTTTGGCCTTTTTTCTTTTCCAGGCTAATCTCTGACTGCTTCCCACGCGGTCCTACGGCAGCCAGAGAGACTCCTTTCCATTCTCCAAACACAAGACTTTTCTCTGCCAAGTCTGAGGCATTTTCTCTCCCTCAGAGCCTTCCGGCCTGTCCATACTTCTGCCTGTGTAAGTCCCACTGAAATTACAAGCTGAACCAGTGTTCTTTAAAATGTTGTCCCATCTTCTCCGCTTTAAACATCCTCCCCAACCTCATCTCCCGAATGGATACAAATCTTCCTCAATTGTTATCTATATGAGATTGAACCTGGCTCAGAAACTTGCTGTAGCAAACTTCAGAAGATGTATCTTGAGTAAATATTTTTGATAGATAAATCCTGATGTCATAGATGAGATTCAGATGAGGAAGCAAACAAAGGTGGATACCAAGCACTGTGGATTCAGAGTGTATCACCTCCATCCGGGGCCTCTCAGTAGAATGTGTTTCTCCTCTTGACATCTTAGTTTTCTTCTCAGGAGGTTGCACATGGAAGCAAGGTTGGACATTACAGTTTTTCCTTGATTAGGTTTTGTTACACATTTATTCTTTGTTTTTTAGAGGGAGAAAATTACTACATGACTTTAACAAGGGAAAACACACATGTCCTACCAAGTGTCTCTGACTGCCCTTTCCTTTCCTGTCTACCAAGTTAGCAGTGAAGTACATTGACCACAATATCCAGATAAATATACATATATGCAAAATGTACATTTAAATATATAAATTTTGACCTCCTTCAAAATTTCTGACTTATATGTATCAAAATCCTTTCCCCTCTCCACCACAACAAATCTAAAATGTCATACAATCATTCCACAGTACAACCATGAAAAAAATGGAACATTGCTTTGAATAGTAGTAAAAGAACTCAACTGTCATTACGAACTGAATGAAGCCGAATATCCCTTATTCTTTTTATTAAGCAGGACAGACTGGCTGATGGAGAGGTGGGGTATTGGCCTCCGACTACTCGAAAAAGCCACCATTAGCAAACAAACATCTGCTTCCTCCCCTCTGCAGTCCCTGCCAGCTGCAGTCACGGCACAGTAAATTACACTGCTAATTCTACTGGTTCATTCCTGCGTTTCTCTAATGCAGAATATTGATTTGTGCTGGGGAGCCTGGGCTTGCAGATTCTAAAGGTGCAAGCAGGCAAAGTCTGGTATTTTCAACACAGGAAAAACCTGTGGTGTGGGAAACTATTGCTAAAGTTAAAAGATACCCAGTGACAAACTAAAGCTGGAAATGGTACATCACTTCATGGAGAGTATTCCCCTTAGAGGTAGAACAGAGAAAATCATAAAGAGGAAGAAAGACCACTCTTTTAGGCCTTAGGGAAGGCAGAATGATTCTGGCCTATTTTGAAGGATGGAGTAAATGAACTTGCAGGTGGATTGAGGAAATATAGTCTGTCTTCAACTGGTTATTTGATGTGGAAATTCTATTTTGAGAAAAACAAACCCTCTACAACAGGTTTCTATTATTATGTTGTTCTTGATTTTCTGAGGCACCAGAGTGAACTGGCTGAAAACTAGATTCTGGGGTCCCATACTACTTAGTAATGTGGCTTTAGTAAGGTTGAGCTTGTTTCCTCTTCTCTAAATGGCAGTGATATCTCTGTAGACTTGTGAGAACAGAATGAAATATTACATGGAAGTCATCACAGCCCAAGGGACGTCACTGGATTTATGCACAGGGTTCCATGTTCATCATCCCCAAAGCTTAGAAATACAAGGCTATGCTGCTCTGCAGGTATAATTGAGAAAAGTAGAACAGGTGCTTGAGAACAGGACACCACTGAACAGACATCATCCAGAGTGTACGCACTTACTTTTCTGGTGAGAAGTGTCCTCTGAAGGAAAGGAGATACATACCACCTATGTAAAGCCAACGGGAATACCACCAGGCCTGCAGGAGTTGTCAGATTGCTTATGAAGTGAGACGGGCTAGACAAGAACTTCCTATGTATGATCACCCCCAATTTACCAGCTATTGCATTCCAAAGAATTATTCTGTGTCTTTCTGGCTACTTTAAATTCTACTACCCCTGGAAGAATGAGGTATAGAAACCAGATTCAGGATATCTTTTGAAGGTGAAGCTGATATCCAAAGCAGATGTCCTGGTGTGATACCCTCACCTATTCATACAGCTGGTTTTGCTAAAAGTGGCTTTTCTGAAAGGTGACCTGAAGACCAGAACACTTAAAATCATAGGAAATCACAGGAGGTTTAAGAAGACTTAGGATTGATCCTTTCTGAGTTCTAAGGTATTGACTTAAAATGAATGTTTGGAAAGCCACCCTTTCATTTTGTGGGGACAAAGCCCTATGAGGCACTTGTATAGATTATTCATCCAACCCACACAATGTGGTAAGAACAGATACCATGGTGCCCATTAAAAAAGGGGACACTAAAGCTGAGAGATTAAAGCATGAAATTGCCTAAGGGTTCAACACCAGTAATGTGGTCAAACTGAAACGAAATCCATGCATGTCCCTTGAAGTTCAGAAACAGTCTTAAATTCCCTGCGTTACCACATACATTACAATAGATAAACCCCATAAAATTGCTAAGGTTCAACCTTTTTTTTTTTTTTTTTTTTTTTTTGGTACTGGGAATTTCCCCTTGGGCATCCTGCCATTGATGTACATCCCTATCCTTTAAAAACATTTTTTTTTAAATTTTGAGATAGAGTCTCACTCAGTTGCCCAGGATGACAAAAAACTTGCAGTTCTCTGTCTCAGCTTCCCTAAGTGCTGGGAGGCTCAAACAATTTTGCTTCACAGAATATCAAGTTCATCTATTTCACCAACTTCATTTGACCCATAGCATATATTTCATTGGATCTTCACTATAGAACTAGACTTTTTGTAGCAACACTATACAGTTATCCAAAAAGGAATACATCAACATTTTTTAATGTTTTAGTTCAATTTAATTCCATTTATTTCATTTTTCTGCTGCAAAATACCAGGGGAACCCAAGTTAGCCTACCTCAATGAGTCATATATGAATTGACATCTTCTAAGAATTTTGTAATTTTTTTTTGTTTTGTTTTTGGTTTTTCTCCGGTACCAGGAACTGAAGTCACGACCTTGCGCTTGCCAGGCAGGTGCTTTGCCGCTGAGCTAAATCCCCAGCCCCGAATTTTGTAATTAATCTCTGTATTTCTTATCAGCTTTGCTATGTTCTGACCAGCTGAGCTTATATGTGTGTTTTGCCCTCGTTGGTTGCTGAAGTGTAACATATTTTGCCCTTCTGACTTTTACATTACTCCTCAGTTCTTTCTATTCTCAGCTCAGTGGTATTGCTGGAATAATTACTTCTCCTTATCTTTCCAAACATGAGCATCATTTTAAATACATAAACTATATGAATATAATTATATTAAGTTTGCTGGAACCTAGATAATATTCTCAAGGGGGACCAAACTTTACCAAATTATATATATGTATGATATATTTTAATAGACATTTTTTAGAAAAATCATTCATGATAGCGTAAACTAGCGAACTATATCACACATAATAAATATGTACATATAATATACATACATAGACAAATATTTTGACATAATAAACAATTCATTCAGTAATAACTCTCCGTGTTTCAAGTTTACAGCTAGTTAACGCGTGGGTTTTATAAGCTTCCTCTCTTCTGAGCCTCAATAACTCTGTGTATCCCTCTGTTTATCATTATGATCAGATAGTTCTTTAGAAAGCCATTCCACTACTCCTCTGCCTCTATTCTTAACTTTCAGTTCTTTCCTATAAACCTTTTGTCTTTTTTGTTGGGCATTGTTTTTGTTCTGTTTTATGAGACAGGAACTCACTATATTGCCGAGGCTGGCCTTGAACTCTAGGTTTCACGAGATCTTTCACCTCAGCCTCCGCCTAGCTGGGCCACAGGCACATGCCACCACATCCAGCATCTCTTGTTTATTGTATTTGCTTTTGAAAGACATAATTTCTTAATTTACTATAATAGGAACATTCATATGATGAATTCAGTTATCTTTTGTCCAGCTGATGCAGGGAGAATGTTGATGAAATACCATTTTTCATTTGCTTGACACATCTTACTTTTGGAGAGAAGGTTTACTATTGCTGTCATTTGACATGAATATTATATGTACAGTACCCATGTGTCTGGAGTTGGCTTCTTAATTTTAAAAATTGCAAAAGTATATTTGTATATATTTCGAGCAGTGTCTGGGTTAGACTGACAAATTTCCTATTTTTCAGTAATTATGCTGTTTGAAGATCTTTCCTAATTTTCAGCCTTTGAATTTCCTCATGAGGATGTTCTCCGTCATGGCTTGCTTGTTAACAACAGCACAAAGGATCCAGTACCCTCTTTAGCTATGATCCTTTGGAACTAAACTTGCTCTGGGAAATGCAAATATTTTCCCACATTGACAAAGACCTGAGCTGGTGGTGTGTTGGTCTTTCATCAGGATGGCTTACATTAGGAGTCATATATTTTTAAAAGCTGAGATGTTTTCAAGTAGGTGGTCTCCTTCAAGGTCTTCCTTGTTTAAATGTTTGAAAAGAATCCTCTAGATTCTTAGAAACGATGACTCTGTAGCCAGAGAGCTCACAAAAGCACTACCAGTGCTGCCACAATTTAACATCCTGTTTTTGTCGATCTCCAGTAGCCACCTCGGTAGTTCCGAGGCACATTCCTGCACACTCACTGCAGGATGCCAGGACCATTTCCTCATTTTGTGCAGCTATTTTTATTAGGTTGTAGACAATGTGCACATTGGCATGTGGAGGGTTAACACTCAGCTGCGTTGTCTCCATGTGCCCCTACTCACAATATGTTTCCTTTGAAGCAAAGGGAAAGTGTTTCAAAAGACAATCACTATAGTTCTATGCAGATTTTTCCTGATTCATGTATAGGAATTTTCAATGGAATTTTTAAATGAGCTAGAACAATGTAAGAGATGGGTATAATACCTAAATTATTTTTATTAAAAAACATTTAAAATTTAAAAAACTTAGGCATAGTATAAATATCTGATTTATTACCATATGTGTTTCTTGAATCGTAAAGCTGTAGTAAAAGTTATATAACGCTGGCAAAAAGAAAATAGTGTGGTCTCTTTGTGAAACTAAATGAAACAAAGTATAAAGTTTGTGATACATTAAATCACAAACATAAATATGTACTTTATGGCCAGCTGTTATTTCTAAATGTGCACACTTTAAAATAGAAACATTTACCCAACGTGCTGATTAGCAATTTCCCAGTTCCAAAGGCCCAATTGCATTTAAGATGCAAAAGATTAAAGTGCCTAAACAGATAAAGTTAATAGTTCATCTTCCTAAATGCTTTTGTATGCTCTAAGTCTTACATTTCCTTCCAACTCTGTATACTCAAGGGCTAGAGCTACTTTGATGTGGATTTGTGTTTTACCCACATGCTGTTGTTGGAACGGAATCTGACTGCATCTCAGACACCCAGAGACATGTTCTGCACATGAGCGGAGGCCATGTGGCCCCTGTTATTTCACACTGTATGTGCAAGTTTTAGGGGGAAAGTACACTGTTTTTCTACCATGTGTTACACATATTCAACTTTCATTTTGGCTAAAAATCATCTCAGCTGCTAATATTTGGTCTCTGGGTGATTTTGCTTCTCTCCTGCATAAAAATTGGTTAAGATGGCATTGATTGGAAAATGCAATCCCCAAGGGACGCCTTATTTGCTGGCCCATGCGGCATCTCCATCTCTGTAGGTAGAACGGAATTTGTAAATGCCTCTAGTCCTTTAGGACATGTGGGCCATTGCCAGTTCAAAAGTTCATATGATACCATATGTCCTAATAATTTTTATCTACATCTAAAACAATACAGGACTGTCAAATAAAATCCTACATGCAAACAAATGATGGAATGCAGGGGGACCCTCGGCTCTAGCCTTTTCTTCTTTGTCCGACAAGCTAATGCAATAAGGCCAATAATAAAAGGTTGTGCACTAGGCCTAAAGCCTGTGACTGATAAAAAAGAAATGTTGGAAACCGATGAAGCTTTTGCACAATTAGATTTTTTGAGGCTGTGCTGTAAGGATTGCCCAGAGCCTGTTCAGTCCTGATTGATGGTAAAATCATAACTACATCATATTAGCTGTAGAGTTCACTGACAGGTTACTACAGATTAATATTGCCACTGCTGTTCACTTACCATCAAACCAGGGGAAATATGAATTGAGCCGTTCTTCTAACAAACCCTGAATATTAAAAGGTAAGGTGTTCTACCGAACAATCTCCCCGTGCCACTAGGGAACGACACAAACAATGTCTATTTGAGAGATATGCAGATACACTACAGCATACTAATTAGTTCTCTGCTAGGAGAGTCCCATCACATCCGGCTGGCTAATGACCCTTCATGTGAGCTTGTTCCTCCAGAGCTCTTGGCTACAGGATTTCAAACGACACCCTAAAACAGGGAGCTGCAATCTTGGTGATTTAAATGCCAGCTGCCAGGCAAATTGCAGCAACATAAATTTGGCCCATGTGTTTTGCATCGTGTGAATATGAAACAGGGGACATCAAGGAACTGAGTTTTGCTTGCTTTGGACTCTAGGGGTTTGGAGTGAGTTATTTTCAGAGATGGTTATCCATTGTATCAGGTGTGTGTGTGTGTGTGTGTGTGTGTGTGTGTGTGTGTGTATGGGGGTCTCATGCCACTTTTGCTTTACTTTAAAAGTCTTGAGAATGGAAGAAATAAACATGTTGCTCTCCTAATTCAATCACGCTGATAATAATGACATTCTGAAATGAAAGCATTTGATCTTTTTGTCATCTCAAATCTTGGATAAGAAGTCAACTGTGAAATATAACCAGAGCCTGTGACTTGCAAAAGTCATTCCTGATGAGAGGCAGTCAGGAAGGAAGCACTTGAGGAAGAGAGGTCTTTTCACATCCAGCCTGCTCTGATAGTAAGAATCCAGGCCTGGCATCAGCAGGAGACCTGTGCTTTGGGCTCTGGACCGGTGCTTGTCCTGTCATAACTCGGAATGCTGGTATGTTCTATTTTGGGTGCAGGGGTTGAATAAACTAGGTGTTCCCCAAGATCCCTTTCAGCTCCGCTACCCTTTTTGAAATTCTACTGTCTCATGTCCCAGGTGGCCCTTGGTGTTCAAAGCCCAGCATCCCCAAGAAGCTGGCTGAATACACAGTCTGGGCTTTACCTCACACAGTTCAGGTGAGTGCTGAAGTTTAAGAACTATTGTCATGAGGAGTGGCAGGGATTTGGCAGAGGTCACTGTAGACTTTACCACGGTTTATAGAGGGAATATGCAAAGGGTAGCAAGTGAGCCAAAGTCTCGGGAAGAAGATCATCATTATCCCTCACTGTTTTAAAGAAAAATGTTCACTTATTACTTAAATTTATGTTTTTCTTTAAAGAGAAAATATAGTGGCCCACAAAGCTGTAAACTATAAAAGTTATAATGTTAATTCACAGGAGACAGAGTGGAAGAGTGGGAAGAGATATTTGCAATGCTTAAACTCTAGAAAAAAAAAGAGCTGACACTAGTATTTAGAATGTAAAAGAACTCCGCAAATGGACCAGAAAGCCCGTGGGAAAAATGCAGAAACTGTATGAAACTTAACTGAAGGACTCAAGTTTGAAGGGGTGCTCAAGCTGAAGGGTCAAGATTTTAGAAAACTGGGTTGTTCTGGTTGTTTGCATGGATGTGAGGTTGTGGGAACTCTTTCTCATCACTGCAGAGGAGTAAAGGAGTATGATCCTTTTAGAAAGCAATCTGATGATCTCAATGGCCTTAAATATGAGGATGCCCTGAGACTAAGGGGGCAAGATGCCCTTCTTACCCAGGGTAGCAGGAAACCTGAGGTTCTGGCATAATTAGTAATAGTGCCACTTCTTACTCCCCAAAATGTCCTTACCAAAATAAATTACATACTCATCCTACTTCTGCAGTTTTACCTCTAAACACATATCTTGAAAATATTTTTATAAAGGGATCATACACAAGAATGCCTTTTTAGCATTATTTGTGATAATGTGGAATTGAAATCAATCTTTGGAGCCTTCCACTAGAGGAATTGACAAATACACTGGGGTCATACTTTCTATGGTATGCCATATAGCAGACAGAGGTGATATTTTAATATGTCTACAGTATATAGCAATATGAACTCATTCTAAAAGCAAAATTATGAATGTAAAAGCATGAGATTTAAAGCAAGATTCTGTTTGTCCAAATTTTAAAACAAATTCAGATTTGTTAAATGTAAAATAATAACAGATATACAAAAACATGTACACATGTCAAAAATATTGAAATGCCTATTTTAGGGCAAGAAAAATATAGATGATCTGAGGTGATGAATTTAAAAATTCAGTTAAATTAAGAGGAGGGTCTTGTATGGAGTTATGTGATGATGTGTAATAAAAAGAGGTGTGAAATTATTATAAACCACTGCCCTTGAGGTAAAAAATAAAGGACCAAAGAGGGACTATAATATTATTTTCCATCTCTGGGAAAGTAGTGAAAAAAATTTTCCTTCAAATAAAATATGATCATAATTAGGAAGTGATAGTTCATAGGATAATTTTGAAGTTTGTCCTTATAATGGATTGACAACTGGTGGTCAACTTATAACCCCCAGCCGAACTGAGTAAGCATGGTGCTGGGTGTGGGAGGCCCACCTGATAATTGTTGCCAGCAGCATAAGAGGTAGAACTGGAGAAGAAGTCTGTTGGGAATTGAGAAGGCTGTTGAGAGCTAGTAGAAGCTGTAAGAAGTTGTTGGGTTTTTTTGAGGAGCTTGCCATGCTAGCTTTCCTGATGAACTTAGCTGTTTTCATGCTCCAAGGAGCTTAGGACATTGCTGGCACTGAGAATAGCTCTATTTCACTTTGGGGGAGCTCTGGTCCTCACTCTGAGCATTGATTCCTGGTTCCAGAGGGGAAGATGATGCACTGCCAGTCTCCAGGAGAAGCTTGCTGCATTGGCTTTCCTGATGGGAACTCAGCTGTCCTGATCATTGGAGGAGCCTGGAACCTCACTGTTGCTGAGTGTGGCTGTGGTACCTTTCAGGGGAACTCTGGTTCTTACTTTGCGGGTTGCTTCCTGGCTCCAGTGTAGATCTCTCTGCCTACTAGCACAGATCCTTCATCCCACTGGCACAGACTTTCTAGATTCCACCTCTGACCCTTGGGCCTTCCCAGTGCAGATCTGTGAAACAGGCTTGCATGAGACATTGTCATAGGCTCTGGGCCTCCAGTTGCATTCATGGGAGGCATTGTTATGGGCTCTAGGTCTTCAGCTGAACTCATGCAGGACCTTATCATGGGATTCGGGCCCTCAGCTGGACTCTCTGGTCTATAGTGTGTGGACAGATTTCCTGCACTCTCTTGTATATGCTTCTTTGTGTGACTATTATAAATAATCTTATAAAATATGTGTCCTGTATTATATTGTTCCCCTTGCAAAAAACCCCAAATCATGACAGTCCTATACAACCTATTCAGGAGAATGGCAACTTTGATCTAGATAATTCTACTCTCTAATAATGTGATGACTGATGGAGGGACCTCAGACATTACTATCAGTGAGACACTCACTTTATAGAAAGGAAATTTTACAGCAAGGAGTATTGCCAGTGGTAATTACAAGGTACATGTTTGTAACTCTCTCTTACAACTTTAAGTGGCTGCTTATTTCCTGTAATATGAAGTTGGAGCTCCTGATCTTGGTGAGAAAGACCCTGTTCCATTTACTTCCCTGATTTCTCAATATTGATGCTTTCCTCTCCTGAACGAGTCCTTCTGTCCTTGATAACGCTCACAACATGTGTCCTGCCTGAATTTTCATCTATTCTTCTTCCCATGTAACTCTAATTTTCAGTATGAGTTTGAGGCGCAGATCTTCTTTAGAGCTTTCCCTTATCATTGTGAACCCAAGTGACCGTGACTTTCTCCTTCCTGCAGCTATTGTATTACTGTTTGGAATTATAATTATCTTCTCATACATGTGCTTTCTTTGTACAAACTAGGTTTTGTAATCTTTTTAAACTTCACTAATAGTTCTAAGGGTTTTTAAAAATATCATTAAAATATTATTGAATAGGTATTGACCCTCTGCTTGGATATCGAGGGAGACTGCAGTGATCCCTGGGATGCTATCCCTGATTTCAAAGGTGCTTATGGGCCAAGGGGCCAACAGAGAACAAAGAAGTGAAGGATATCAGAGGGCATATAGAGGGACAGGCAGGGTTAGAGACAGTGCTGCAGGTAGGTCAGGGGTGAACTTCAGTGCCCCTTCCCATCTCAGACTAGACCGTAACCTTTTGTGTAGGTGGTTTTAAGTCCAAAACCTCTCGGAGAACATCTGCCGATGCTGACGATCAAGTTTTCATGAAATAGTTGCCCAGTACAGGACCAACACTTCTCTTCTCTGCCTGGTGCATTCTAGGGAAAAATCACTGTTGAATGAACCTGAACTTTGCAGGGGGAAGTGTTCACTGATAACTGCAAACAGGGAGTGGTGTCCTTACCTACCTGATTCAGGATTGTGCCACAATTCCTGATAGGCAATGGTGGCATGGGGATGTTTGGCTGTGGAAGATGGGAAGGCGGTAAGTAAGGTAAATAAGGGAATAGCCACTTAAGAAGGGGCTAAATAATAGGATAGTCAGTGTTCTCTTATGTAAAGCTGTTTGGGGTCACTTTCCCAAGGGCAATTTAGTGACTTAATCAAGTTGTGGAAAATTCAGTTTCCTCTTCCAGCTCCACTCTGCCATCTTTAGCATTTTTTCTTTTAATCCTCAGATTTACTGCATGTTGGACCCGGATGACCCCTGTGCTTCTAGACTTCACACCTTTGCCAAGGTGTGGTCCAAGGCAGAGTAATAGGAATTCCTCTCTTCAAGATCACCTTCTGTGTCAGAGAAGGATGCTCCCAATGGACTTGCCTTTATATCTGCTTAGCCAGAACTGAGTCTCTGGCTACAATAGCCACTACAGGATCTGTGGCTGTCTTGTCATTACCGTAAGATGTAGACTTTGCTGGTGTGAAGAAAAAGAGGGGACTTGTGGGCAACTAGCATAGTTTTCACAGACCAAGTCATGCCACCCCCTTGGGGAATAAAATGTTCATAAAGACCAAGTTCTTACAACTATCAGACCTGGAGTCATGATCCTTTCTTTGGTGGGTGGGCAGGAGTTTTCTTTCATATAACTTGTTCCTATACTCATTTGCACAACTATTCATTCATCATGTATTTATTGAGTATTCACAAATATTCTTAAAGTTGTTTGTGTGATGCATCCCTTTGGTAGTCAGATGAAGCTTTTTGGGAATATGATGTTTAAAAGCATTTAATAAAATATACAGAACTAGGAAGGAAAGGAGTTAAGTTGAAACAGAATTTACCTTGTATATTGTGGCCAGATCTGTGCTGGTGCTAGACTAGAGAACAGCAGTGATTAAGGGAGGAACACTGCCCTTCTGGGGCTTCCCTGGGGGAAGAAACAGCAGGGCAAAGTGTAGTTTAAGACTGATAGAGGGGCACAGGGGGCTCTAGGAACACATTTGAGGTAGCCAGCTCAGTCTGCAATGGGGATGGAAGAGGACAGAATGATTCCTGGGTATCTAAGAAGAAATCCAAAGGAGATGATCAGGAAAGAAGCTGTGGGAAGATCATTCCAGTGGAAAGGAAAAGAAAGAGCAAAGAGACAGGGTGCAGCCTTTGGAGACTGCTCTTAGCTGAATATTTCTGGAGCATAGAGGTCAAAGGGGTCCGTGGTTCCGGGCAGCTGGGTAGAGATGAGCTGGTAACAAAACACTCTTATAGGAGTCAGGCGCTGTGCTGAATGACTTTCCACACAAGGCAGCTTTGGCTCGTAAAGACATGTGACAAGGCTGCAGTGACCTTGTTGAGTTTTGCTCGCTGTTCAATCTGCAGCGCTCAGCATAGTGCTATATTAAATAACGGTTACATGGAGGAAATGCCAGTGTCTGGGTTTCTAATTCCTAGGCCAGAGCATTTTGAGTGGACTCACAGCTGCACGTGAGAACATGCTCTGACTGCTCCTAAATGAGCATCCCCTCCAAATCTATTCCCTTCCACTCCTTTTATTCTTGATTTAGAACGAATGACCTCTCTTACATATTCAACCAAAATAAGTCAAGTTCTTGTTTGCATCTGCTCTAATGAGGTGGTATGGATAGAGCTCAGGTGTTGAGACTCACTTAGGACCAAGGAGAAGGCAGAGTGTGGGCACTTGGTCCCTGGGCTACCACAGGGATTCGGGGCTGTCACCCACTCTACCACAAAGCTCCACACAATCATCCAGTGGATTCTGTCCTGGTCCCTTCATTTTTTATGCAAGTTATAGACCCATGCTCATTTCCAAGGTTTCTTTATTCACTCTACCAACAATATCCCATGTTGACAGAAATGTGGCTTGTGAGGTGCATTACACAGAGACACATGTCTGTCTTCCTCTGTTTGTAGAGTGAGATCAAGATGGGTAGAGAATCAAGTTGGAACAGAGGACCCGGATACTCCCTGAGAAGTCGGAATGTCTACTTAGACATTAGACTTGCAAGGGAGCTCAGATTGTGATCAGGAAGATCCTTCTCCCTACTGAGGCTCATTTTATAGTGAGACGGTTGCACTTGATCATGCCAGTTCCTGATTAGGACTGTAGGAGTGAAGTTGTCTAACCTCTCAGAATTTAGCATCTTCATCTCTAAGATGAATGTTTTGTTATACATGTCTTTGAAAGTCCTGGCTAAACATAAATTCTGTGATTTTTCAATCATACCATACTCTTTCCCTGTACATGACTCTAATTCTCACTAAAAAATGTAAAACGTAGCCTTCTTATTTCTTTCTAAGAGAGTGACATATAGCTGAAATTTTAAAATTGATCCACTTTTTGTCACATGGACACTATTTTTTTATGGTACCCTATGATTCATGAGCCAATTTGCTGCACAAATCTCAGATGATATGAGTGAATTATTCACATTTCATAGTGGAGACATAGTAACTTTTCATTTCCCAAGTCATTTAAAATATCTCCTAGATTCTATATTCTGTATTAAAACCAAAAATCTAGTAAAACACATAATTTGTCTATTTTGGAGTATGTTGAATAACTTTACATTGTGAGCATGTGCTTGTGAGAAAGTAACGGAAACGGATAAAATCCACATAACCTGGCGTTTTTTGTATTCCAAGAGCTAAAAATGCCATTCTGAGTGACAAGAAAATTCTAATGTCAGCCGCCTCCTGATTTGGCTTAATCAGAGTTTCAGCTCATCAGTTAATTTCACTGTCTGATCCTTCATTCCTAAAATGAGAGATAACCTATCTGACAGCCAAATAAAGGGAATAAAGTTTGCAAAGCACTTAAGACATCCACAGAATAATTTGAAAAGAAAAAAGATAATAATCCTCTTGAATTAGTCTTTGATGACACGGTGGATTGGCCCCATGACATAATTTATAGGCCCCTTTCTTTGTCCACAGCAGACTCACAAGATCTGTGGTTGTGTTTCCTTGAAACTGCACTAATTTTTGGCACATACCAGGCCCTGACCATGACCTGGATTTTGAGCAGAAGACCAAGTTTAGACCACCAAAGTTCTCCTGCCATGTTTTTCTTCTGATAAATACCGCAACGTACACATGTTCAAAAGAAAAAAAGTGGAAAAGATATATAAATTACATTTTCAATTTTTTATGCCCTAGAATCCTTGATGATGGACACAGAAAGTAGGAAAACTGAGTTGTTTCTTTGGTAGGACAACTTCTAAGTATCACTGGGAAAATGTATAGATTATAATTATATAAGCAGAGGTCTTACAGAGAAAGTTAAGCACATAAATAAAAATTTCAAAAGCATGAAAGTCATTTAATAAGACTGCAAAATTTCTAGAAGTTTCTAATTAGATCTTTGTCTGTGGAATTTGCCTTTGCCTGGAGCGAAAAGCCCAGCTATTTTACAATAGGGTCTTTGCCACCTAACAGCACAGCAGACTGCAGTGTGCCTTAAACAGTAAGTCTGTTTTTAAGGGCTACATCTCTCGGTTTTTTGAAATTTCAATACCACATTTTCTGAAGTTATAACTCATATTGCACATCAGTTATTTCCTTTATTGTTTGTTTATTCAAAAATTTGACCTAGCATTAAATTCTGATGGATTTTCTTTTTTGATGCATAAATTTTAATTGAAGCACAGGATTTCCACTTTCAGGTTTGGGTATTAAAAAAAAGTCACTGATCTTTAAATTGAAAGGTTTGATGGCATATTAAATTTGATGAATCATAGCAAGTGCCCGTGTTTGTTAGCTTTTATAGACCACATTAAAGTGTTCATTAATAAAGTCACACTTCGTTGCCTTGAGGAAGTCCTAAAAGGTTAACGACTTGATGCAGGCTGGTGTTCCCAAGCTCTGCTCTTTGTAGCGAACTTAGTTCCCTTTGCAATTGGAATGTAAAAAGAATATTCCATTTTCTATCTCAAAGTCCAGAAATTCTTTGGACCTTTTCTTTTTCTCCTCTCTTCTCCAATCATTCCTTAGAATCTCGCACCCTCAGATGTGTGTGGGATGAAGTCAGTGGCTTGTTAGTCACAGAATAAACCTGGAGGGCAGTGGCATCTCCGGAGAATTCACCCTCTCTGCTCTCTGGCAGGTCCAGCAGTGGCTTTCAGCAATCAGAGGCTGACTTGACTATGAATCACCCATTTTGGAAGAGTTGCTATTCAAGAAGCATGGTTAACTCTTTGATCTCTTTCCCCAGTAGGCTCTGTTTGGGAGGACAAAATACAGAAATACTCGCAACAATTAAATAAAAATAACTTATACATCACCTATTATAGTATTCTTTATCCAGAAGACATTTGATTATTTATTGATTCATCAGCGTGACTCACATTCTTCTTGTCTGTGGCTAAGAGCATTTAGAGTAATTATTACCTGAATTACTCAAGCCAAAGAATTTCTATGTAAAACTTTTATTTTATGTGTCAGCAACAGAATTAGATTAAACCAGACTAGAACTGTGAGAGTACTTTGAGCAAATTGCTGAACTACACAGTTCCTTAATATTGTGTCAAGGCTTTATAGACACTTAGTGAAAATTCATGCACTCTGTACCCTTCTCAGGAGGAATTCTTTCTTGATAAAGTCAAGTGCGGGGGTAAATTTCTTGAAAGAGACTTGTCCCATGCCTTGATTCTGTTAGGAATTGTTAGTAAAATAAATGACTCATATTGGTTTTATGTGAGAGACAAATCAAAGCATTTCCATGAGTTCGTTGGGCTGACCTGCAGTAGTTTAACTATTTCCTGCGCACCTTGAAGCTGCTAGATTGGATGGGTGATAGTCCCCATGATAGTCATTGTGGAAAGAAAAGTAAAAGTTCATATAAAAGAGGCCACCAAGGGTTATATGGTTGCAATTGTTTCCAGGCCAAAACAACTTTGTATCTGTTTATTATTGTCAGTATCTTGTAATATTGTTCTTTCAGAATCAATAAAAGCTAACCTCCCTCCATGGTTTTACTGCTAAACCTTCCTGGAAGGATGTGTGTACAGAAAGTCTAGAATGACAACACAGCAAAGCAGGCAGAACTAACGGTAATGAATAAAAGCTAAACCTATTTATTTAACAACCTTTTTCGGAGAAGAAGTTGTTCTATTAATGTAAAACATGGGAAAATTCTTGATTTTTTTTCTGAGTGTGAGGTCATTTTTTAATAAGAAGTAAAAGAAAAAAAGCCCAAACAATATAGTAAGGTTTTTTCTTTCTAAGAGGCTCTGGCTGTCAGTCATCATCACATGAGGGTCTGCGTATCCTGCTTAATAGTATGTTTAAAGAAATGGTAATTTTATTAAACTAAGTTAAGAAGCACAATCGTTTACCTTTACCCCCTGCTCTGTACTGCAGCATTCATTCATATTGACTGAGGGTATGAGCACAACAGATACCACTAAGTGTCTGGTGTGGTTTGAATTTGTTTTTTTCTTTTTTTTTTTTTGGTTTTTCTCAGGTACCGGGAACCGAGCTCACGACCTTGCACTTGCCAGGCAGGCGCTTTGCCGCTGAGCTAAATCCCCAGCCCTGGTATGGTTTGAATTTGAATTGTGTTTCCCAAAGCTTATGTGTTGAAGGCTTGGTCCATAGGCCAGCCATGTCCAGAGGTGTAGCTTTTGGAAGTTGATTGGATCAAAAGAGTTCTCATTTTATCACTGGATGAATCCACTGATGGGCTCATGATTCAGTGACGTTGTTGTGCGGCAATAAGAATTTGGGACACAGGGCCTAGTTGAAGGGAATGTGTCATGGGGGTGTGCCCTTGGGAGTGATATCTTGTCCCTCATGCCTTCCTCCTCCCGCCCCCAGCTTTAATCTGCCATGTTCTCTGCTTCATCACAGCCCAGAAATACGTGAAGCAAGTGACCATGGACTGAGAACCCTGAAATCACGAGTGAAAATAAAACTTTTTCTCTTTTAAGTTGATTTTTTCAGGTATTTCATCACAGAGATGAAAAGCTAACACAGTGCCTAATTCTTCTTGATGATTAGAATTCAGAGAAATAGCCTTCACCAGCTTTGGTGCCCTGGGCTGGCCCACAGTTCTGCTTCACCCATGGTGTGCTGGTTACTGTTTAACATCCAGCACCTGGCTGGGAGGATGACCAAGCAGGCAGAGGCATTTTCCAGTGTCTGAGGTATAAATACTACTCCTATTGAGCTAATTTGAAGCTGCCAACTTTCTATTACTGAAGGAGGAGTTGAGAGGAAAGCTATACCTAGACCTCTCCCCATCCCCCAACTACAGGAATATGATTCTGTGATTATTTAACAGATTAAAAGAGGAAAGTTCTGTAGGTTTACTTATTTATGTGTATTTTACCCAAAATCTCTGAAAACAATTGAATCTATGACTAAGGATACTGCTCCCTGATACTGATAGGTGCTGACCTTACCTGAGCATTATAAGAAGCCAGTTCTGGTACACTGCTTTTTCCAAAAGCTCTTGGTTCACATCATCGTTTTTAAATGGAATGTTCTAGAAAAAATTCTCCACACTAGAAAAAATAAAATAGTAAATTATTATTCTTGCTCTCTATCCTTATTTCTATGATGTCTTGATAGATGTATATGTTGTGAGATGATTATCTCAATCAAGCTGATTGCCATATCTACCACCTCACACAGTCATCTGGTGTGTATGTGTGTGCACACACCTGTGTGTAGCAGTGAGAATCCCCGAGATCTACATAACAGATGATATAACAGATTATACTCACCGTGCTGTATATTAGTTCCCAGTTCTCATTCATCTTATAACTAAAGGTTTTTACCGTTTACCATCACTCCAGTTTCACCATGGGTCAGCTCTGGTAGCCACCATTCTACTCTCTGCTGCCGTGAATTTAAGAAGTTCTTAGATTCTACATATAAATGTAGACCATGCAGTATGTTATATGTCTTTCTATTTCTTTTTTTTCTCATTTAGCATAATGTCCTCAAAGTTTTTACATGTCATGGGATTTTCTTTTTTTAAAAAAGGACAAATAAGAGCATAAGGGTAAATCATAATGAGCAATCTGTATAATTTTTAAAAATTCATTTTATTTTATTTACTTATTGTAATACTAGTTATTGAACCCAGGGCCTTTCCCTAAGCTACATCCCTAGCCCTTTTTATTTTTAAGTTGTGTGATAATGTCCCACTAAGTCACTAAATTGTCCAGGTTGGACTCTCATTTGTATGTGATCCTCCTGCCTCAGACTCTCAGAGTGCTGGGATTATAGGTGTGAGCCACCACACTCACAAACATTGTTTTTAAATCAGTGTTTTAAAAAATATGGTTTTATTATTGGAATCAGAGTCTTTATCGAATAAGGTATCTTTGAAAACCCCATTCTTCGTGTTAGTAGAAAGATAACGGGCCACTGAGATCTCTAGCTCTGTCGTAAAGAACCGAGAAAAGTGCGCATCACAGGCATACTGTCACCATACCTACGAAGAACTTTAGAGAAAGTTTGGTAAAGAGGCTTTATGATCCGCAGCTGTTTAGGAGGAATGCCTGCAATGTGAGCAGCCTAGTTTTGAAGATAATGGATTTATGAGTTGCAGGAAGCCAAATGTGCGATCCCTCGGACCAGAATCTGTTTAGTATCATGTTGCTATTTCTCTCCTTTCTTCCCTATGTTAGGTCACATCCCAGATATGAACATTACTCAGAGGTTACTCAGGTGATCCTCGGCCATACTGAGAGTGCAGCTGTGCAGGACTTGACCTTGAAGGACAGATGGCATCAGGAGGAATTCCTTTATACCTTGTGCCGACCAGGGCCCCATTTCTGTCTACAGACAATAAAAGCCTTTCACTGTGAGCTGCTTTCTGATGCGTGCTTAAAACCAAGCTGAACGCATTAAAAGGGCAGAAAGGCAGAAATCTGCTTACTGTGCCCTGTGGGGAATTAAGTACAATTTTGACGGGAATGAATGGAAGAAGAAATAGATTTTAAAAAATATTTATACCTTCGCTTACAAAAAATTGGATACAATATTTATTTCATCTTAATTTCTGATTCATTCCAATAAATATGTGCTGTATTTCCTTTAAAAGTAGATCCTCTGAATAAAATGTTTTTTACAAATTATATCTGACTGACTTTGCTCTCCCTTTCTGGTTTGAATGATAGGATCCTTGCAAGCCCGCACCTTCCTGTGGTAGAATTTAACATCACAAGGACATGTACAGTTCCCTGGAATCCTTTCCAAATTTTTCCTTCTTCAACTAGAATACTTTTGCAGACCTCTTTCTAGTGTTACCAAGGTTCTTTGAAGTATTATCTGATTTCAGAACGACGGCTTAACCATGTCTGCTTTTGGAAACTTAAAATAACTCTTACAGGCTTCTGATTTAGTGCCTCATCCCACCATCTATCCACTTGACCCATTGTATTTCTGAAAAGAGTAGGCAAATTTTTTGAAATTTGGTGGTTAATTGGGTTATACAGAGGCAATGTGCTTAAATGAAGGTAACAATAGCTAACATTTCTGAAGCATTTTAATGTCTCAAGCATTGTTCTAAATGCTTCACGCACATTCTCCACTTAATCTTCACAGGATACTATTCTAATTATCATTTCCATTTTCCAGAGGAGGAAACAGAAGCACAAAGAGACCACAGAACCTTTGTGAGGTCACAGGGTAAAACAAGAAGCCAGTATTCAAACTGAGACCCTCTGCCTGATAGTACACATTTTAATCCACCATGCTGTGCTTCAAAGGGTCATATTAAAATTCATTATGAGCCTATATTCAAGGCAGTGTGTGGGGTAGAAAGAACACTGGACCAAGGAGCTTCTAGAACATGAGCTGTTAACAGGTTTTCTCCATATTTAGTTGTGGAAACTCAGACAAATGGACCTCTCTAGAAAAAAGCTAAGAAGAATACATCATATGAAGTCATCTTATCTATTTCATATGCACACTACTGCTGTTAGTGGGACACTATAAAAGAAGAGCCACTGGGACTTATAGTGAATGTAAGTTCTGGGAGCAACTATTATGGATGACCGTGCAGGTCTTCCCAGGTTGCTTTGCTGCCTTTTACCAGAGGTGAGATGGGGCCAAATTAGCCAACCTGCTGGAGCCACATTTCCTCACCTGTAAGTGGAGACTATAAAAAGTGCCTCCTCAGAGGGTTATTGAGGACGCAGGAGTCATTGAGGACAGGGGAATGGTGTGTTTACTAGCACTGCATATGTATGCTTCTCTGAAGTCTCTATCATTATTTTCATTATACAAGTGAGTAAACTGAGGCCTCATCAAATTTAATAACTCACCTCAGGACATTCATCTTGCTTGTGGTGGAGTCAGCATTCTAGCCCAGATGTGTATAAAAGCAATATGCTATCATTTTCCCAGGATTAAGGACACTGTGTATTATTTATTACCCCAGCTAACATTCCCTTTCTAGGTTACCCTCCACATTCCCACAATTCAAGGGCTACAGGATTAAGCTGTTACCTGTAAAAGACTTCTAGGATCCCCTTCTACCCAGACCCACAATCCTCTGTGATTGGATATGGTGCGCCTCTGCTCCGGTTGGCCAGTGCCATGCACCACACACCTCCATCTCCAGAACTAGGTTTCCTTTCCTGGAAAACAAAGGAGAGTAAATGCATGCTCTCCTAACTCTCCTTCTAACTTTCAAGCCCTGCAAGCAGCAAGCATCCACTGTCCCAGCCCTACTCTACTTGTCACACGTTCACACAGATAAGCTTGCTTTGTCAAAGCTAATTTCTGATTTAGCACAGAATATTGAGAATTAAAGTTACACAGAGAAACTACTGGGAGGGATGGCCTTAGGGTGTCTTGAAACTCACTTAGTTCATACATCAACTGATTAAGAAAATTAAATGCTGTACCTAGGAAAACAGAACATAGGCAAAGAGGAGTAATGTTGTGTGGCATTAGGATGTGCAGTAGAGAACAAGGGAATTGGTGGCTGTGTTTAAATATATGTCAAATATGAATTTATTTCTATTAAAAGCTGCAGGAGGCCGGGGATATAGCCCAGTGGCACAAGTGCCTGCCTGGCAAGTGCAAGGTCATGAGTTCGATTCCTGGTACTAAATAAATAAATAAATAAATAAAAGCTGCAGGATTCTGTAGTTTTTGAACTATTTTCATTATATGAAGAGGGCTACAAAGTCATTTGTGATTTGTGGTGGTTGAACCAGAGTCTCTAAAAATGCTTTTTCTTAATCAACACCTAGGATATTTAATTTTCAGAATAATGAGATTTCTATATTTCAAAACTAAAAGCTCCCAAAGAGCCTTATCACCTCCTAATTGATTCTAAAAGACATAGGACTTCTTTCTACTTGGGTTCCTCTCTGATAACAATACTGGCAATAGAAGCTATCAGTTGCACTTTTGTGCGGACATCTTCTGCCCAAAACTCATTTTAATTTCTCAGTTTCACAATGATGTTGCCTTGAGTCAGAGCGGTTGGAAACATGGCTCCTTTGGAAAATACATCAGATTCCTAGTTATTTCCACCAACTCTTTAGCCCTGATTATCTCTGGTGCAAAAATAGAGAGCTGCACAATTTCTGAGGGAGGTAGACCTACATCCAGAGAGGAGCAAGACCTAGGCATCCCTTCAGGACCTGTGTAGTTTATTTCTAACTGAAGCACTATCCTTAACTCTCCATTTTCCTGCTCTTCACTTTGTGTTGTATGTGTTTGGGTGAGGGACACCTTTAGCGTCATGAGGTCCTTTGGATGAGCTAGAGCCCATCTTGACTGAACTTTTCCAATTCTAAGCCTCATCTTTCATCTTGCGATGCTTATAAAGCAATGTGCATTGGTCAATAAATGTTATTTCCATGCTGAAACACAAAAGTGGGTTCTTTTGCCATTGATGATGTAGGAAAATGTACAGTCATACCATTTAATTTGAGCTTGTAGGTGAGAGCCCCAAATCCTTCAGTACCACACTAAATCTGATTTTTGTTTGTGGCCAGCATGAATGCTGACCCCTGCCCTTTGAATGATCTTTCCGTCTCCCAGAAAGTTCATGAAAAGGTCATGGAGCTGTGCTGACTTCCTGTGTGTGTGCATAGACGTGTCTTTGCTATTGATCTAGGAAAAGACCATTCAGTGGTTTTGCTCACTTTATTTTTAATGGAAACCTGATCAGTAATTATAGACTTTTTCTGCCGAAATTCACACCTGAGTAAGTGCAGAAAGCTAACATCATTTCATGCTGCTTATTTAACCTTGGCCATAACTCCCAATTATATACATTTCTTGAACCCTTAACAAAGCAAAATATGGCACTTGCTGGTCACAAGTTCAAAGCTGGAGAGAGGGAAAAAATGGCTTAATAGCTGGAAATAAAAACATCAATGAATTTTTCTTATGGATTCCTTCATGTCACATTCATATCATGAGCGACTCTGAGTTTTCCCTTTAGATCATCTTGGCATGATCGAGGAGCAAAAATAAAAATGATTTCTAGTACATTCTTGAAGTGATTCCTTCTTTTGATGCTGCCTGTCACCATAAAAGGGGTTATGAATCACTGGAAACCCGCTCTCCCGTCAGCCGCAAAGGCCCCGGATTTCAAATCAGGCTGCACTAACGGTACCGTTGGACGGCTTTAAATCTCTACTAGAAAACTATTGCCATTTACAAAGAACAAGGAGTGTACGGAAATGGTGAAAAATGCACTAGCGTCATATTTAGAATGATTGTGCGGTGAGGATATAACAATACTTTTCAAGACTGTAAGCAGTACGTATATTCATATCTTCCGCTATTTATCTTGTAGATATACAGCGCTGGAAGTTCTCGGCTGCTGGCTGCTGGGCTCCTGGCACTGAGACGGAAAGATCCCGAGGTTTGTCAGTGCCGTATATCACCACAGCTGTGCCCTTTGATTACACTGGGGCGCTACCAGTCATTAATAACAGCGAAGGCTTTTTGTCTGGCAAATGCATCGCTGTACAGTCCTTTCTCAACATCTTGATGTGGTAGCAAAGGTAAATTAAAGAGGAAGCTTGTTTATTTTACAGCCACCCTTGTGAAAAGAGAGGTAGGCTTTCCAGAACTGTTGGAGAAAATAGTTTTTTTTCCCCTTGTTTTCATATTTTTCACTTGCTCAAGGGAGTCCTGTCATAAGTCTCACTCGAACAAACACTATGAGCACAATGTAATTACGATTTTAATTCTGTCACTGTCACACTTGTTGGGCTACCAGGGGGTTACAAGACAAGCTATCATCTAAGACGACAATTACTGTGTAGACTTACAAACACAAGCATGACCATGGTTGAAGATTTCTTCAAGGTCGTAATGTGAGTGGGATTTGCAAACTGGAATGCTTTCCAGTGTGGAAAAAACACGTGGACACATTGGAGGCTGACTGAGTTTGTTGCTTTTTTTTT